TAAGTATTTATATCAAAAATCTATAAGTAACGTTTAATGTAATTTAAAAACGTCTACTTTGCTTTGTTATTACTTTGTTATTAATATTTGTCTATTACTATGTTTTGTGTTTTGCTTCTTTTTATATATAAGACTGCGTCGGCTACCATCTACTGTTATTGCATTCTTTAGGTTAGGTTAGAACTGTGACTGTGTCTTTGGACATCGCCAAAGCCTTCAATAGTCTGCCATTCAGCTGCATCAGGGAAGCGCTCCGCTACCATGGAGTGCCGGAGTACCTGAGGCGGCTGGTGGCAGACTATCTTGAGGAGCGAACCGTCATGTACGAGGACCGAGATGGCGTCTTGAGACGCAGGGCCATGTCGTGCGGTGTTCCGCAGGGGTCTCTCCTAGGACCACTCCTGTGGAACATTGGATACGACTGGGCCCTACGAGGGCATCTCCTCCCCGGGCTGGGTGTACTCTGCTACGCAGATGACACTTTAGTCACGGCCCGGGGGGCTAACTTCCAGGAGGCGGCGCGCTTGACGCCACGGGAGTTTCCCTGGTGGTCGGGCGGATTGAGGCGTTGGGTTTGCGGCTGGCCCTGGATAAGACGGAGGCCCTATTATTTCATAGGCCCCGTCGTGGTCCACCCGCCGGCGCCTCAATCGAGGTCGGCTCGGTCCTCGTACCGGTCCGGGCCCAGATGAGGTACCTGGGTCTGGTCCTAGACGGTAGGTGGCTCTTCGACGAGCACTTCCGACAGCTTGGTCCGAAGCTGGTGGACACTGCCTCCGCCCTAGGGCGACTTTTGCCAAATTTGGGCGGGACCAGTGTTCCTACGAGGCGGCTGTACGCGGGGGTTGTCCGGTCCATGGCGCTTTATGGTGCACCGGTGTGGGTGGCGGCTCTGACCGCCCCGAATAGGGCGCGCCTCTGGCGCCCCCAGAGGATATTGGCGGTCAGAGCCATACGCGGATACCGCACGGTGTCCACCGAGGCGGCTTGCGCCTTAGCCGGAACACCCCCGTGGGATTTGGAGGCGGAAGTGCTCACCGAAGTTTATCGGCGAGTGGCTGACTTCCGGGCGGAGAGCGGATTTCGCCCTCCGCCCGAAGACGTGCGCGAGTGGCGCGAAGCCGCTCGCCGAGACATCATGGTCAGGTGGTCGTTCCGGCTTGAGACTCCACGCGCTGGCTTCGCTGCCGTGGAGGCTCTCCAGCCGGTCATCACCGAGTGGGCAGGGCGGCAGCACAGGACCCTTTCCTTACGGCTGACGCAGGTGCTTTCCGGGCACGGTTGCTTCGGAAAGTACCTGTACTCGGTCGCTAGGAGGGAATCGAGTCCCGCCTGCCACCACTGCGACTGTAGTGAGGATTCGGCCCAGCACACGCTGACGGTTTACCCCACATGGGCGATGCAGCGCCGGGCCCTCACTGCAGTCATCGGAGCAGATCTCTCGCTACCGGCCGTAATTCGCTCCATGGCCGGTAGCGACAGTTGTTTTACCGCGGTCGCAACCTTCTGCGATGAAGTAATCTCGCAGAAGGAGGCGGCGGAGAAGGCCCGGGAGGACGACCTCCACTCAGACCCGATCCGCCGCTGGCGAACCGGGCGGCGGAGGCGCGCTTACCTGCGCCTCATGCCGCCCTGAGTGTGGCCGCGGGTGGACGGGGTGGGTTTGACCTCCACCCGCATTAGTTTGGCCAGCCGCGAGGAGGCGGCGTCCGCGTGTGCCGGACGTCGAGTAAATAAATAGAGAGTTTACCGAAGGTGGTGCCCGCGCCGTTGCGGGCAGGCGCTAGGAGGGGTCCGGATGTCTTAATAACAGCTGTTCCCGGATCCCTCCTATTACAGGCGCAGAGTGGCACACCGTGTGGTTTTAGTCGGTCCGAGTCCGACACACCACCCCGCTGCAAACCCCGGTGGGGTGACGGTCAGAGGGGATTTCCACCCGTAAAAAAAAAAAGCCGTGTGGTGTCGTGGGACACCCGATAGGAACGAAGTTGTGACGATCTAGTAAACTGATTTGACACGATTTTAATTACAACGCCATCTATGAAAGCGGCTATTACCTACATATTAAAAACAATTAAAACAATTTATACATTGGTAAAGTCTCCTTGCGAAATGATTTCCTATCTATTCGATAGATGGCGCTGAATGTCTGACAAGATGACACGAAAATAAAAAGCAAAAAGCCAACATCACGTGGTATTCTCAGGCGGTCACCCATCCAAGTACTAACCACGCCCGATGTTGCTTAACTTCGGTTATCGGACGAGAACCTTTATATTCAACATGGTATGGACGTTGGCGAACGTTAAAGCAAATTTAATGTATGGTATCCACAGTTAGACGTCAATTTATATTAAAAGTGTCGTTCCAAAATTTCGTATCAATTTTTTCCGTCTAGCCCCCTTTCACAACGCGCGATAAGGAACTTCGTTCCAAAAATGGCTAGAACTGTGACCATTAAAGAGATCCCCTTTATTGTTGGTGAATCATTTAGGTAAGGTTAGGTTAGAACTGTGACCAGCAAAAAAAAATCTTTTTTTTTGATGTTTGAATTATCATTAAGTTGGAATCTTTGTTATTCGATCGCTTCAAAATTGGTATTTTGAGCAAAGTAATTATAAAAATAGGGTGAATAATAAATTGGAATTGTTATATTAGGAATTTTGACTTATTCAGCATTATGAAAATCGGTATTTTGAAATTTGTATTTGTGACTGACGGAATAACGATTTTCGTATTTAGTATTTATTTTAGACACATTAAAAGAGACATAAAAATATACCCTACGAAAGTTCTACAGCTAGTGGACCATAATAATTCTTTATTATCATTTTTTGTTTTATTTAAACACACTGTTATATTTATCAAATAATTCTGTAAAGAAATACAAAAACCAATTTGATAAGTTGATAGCCATAGACAAATTGATAAAAAATAAAGGAAACATTATACAGCTATATTATAAAATACTCTTTTATCTATAGACTCTTAAGAGTCCACCGATAAAAATCTGTTATGTGTAACTAAAATATCAAATGCTAATATCTTTGTTCCTAGCCTTTCAAAAACAAAAATTGTTTCACTCATAGATTTAAAAAAAATAGACTATTTTATTAAAAGTTTTTTCACTACAAGACGATGCAATTTGATTCCAAAATATTGTTTTGTATGGAGACCCGCCATTGTTCTATAGGTTTTAAAACATAAAAAAGTACAAATGACAGATCTCTTTTGTAAAATTAATTTAATATATTAATATTTACGTCACTGTACAATTTATATTATTTTTAGGGCTCATGTTTTCTATAGATCATTACTTCTTTCTACTCTGCATTGCAATAAAAAACTTAGTAGTAGTATAGTAGTAGTACGAGTATAACACAGTTATTGTATTAATTTATATAACTTCAGTAAACTGGGTTTTCTTGTACCTATAGATTTAATTTCTTTGGTATAGTTATTATTTCTGAAAAGCAGCTTACCAAAAAAAACTCAAACTCATACAAACTCAAAATTTATGAGAGTTATACATTAAAATCAAGAGCATGAATTAGTGTTTCATCAAGGAGATTCATATTCAGTTCATTTAAAGGCAGAAATAACACGCTACGCAATAACATCAACTACAGAATTAATTGTCTGTTACAAATCTAGCTTTTAACACTCAAGTCGCAAGCGGGCAAACTAAATCTGACAAGTGTTACAACAATTCTTTTAATAAAAAGATTACTAGCAATATTTATATTTGCAAAACGTGTCTTTAAATTAAGTATGCTGCGAGACTACGTGCCGACATAGTGTATTTGTTATGTTATCATAGAATTTGTTTGTTATCAAATAGTATCGTAGTTCATATTAGAAAATAAGTTAAAACCAATTTGCATATTTTAAATGAATTTTCTAAAAGTATATTCAAACACTTGTTTACTTTCCCGTTGCCGTGGTTTGAATATACTCGTATTAAAGAGGGCTTAAAACTTCTTTAAACAAACATGCTGAATTAAATTAAAATAACATTCAGTTTTTACTACCTTTTATATTCTAATATTAATAAATAAATAATATGTATGTGCTTTATACTGTATGTATTACATTTGGGATTTATGAAACAAGATTTATTTCAAAAAAGTTTCTAAATTTTCTTCTTCTTGCAATAAAAATCTAAACGGCTTACTGTTTTCTGGTTTGTCAAAAATCCTACCTCAACGAGCTTAAGCAGAAATTTGGGAATAACCTACAAACGTTTTTTCTAGAATCAGACTACGAAACCTTTTGAATAAAGGGCTACCCTAGACCTTGCCTACGGGTAACTCTGATAGCTTTCACAGAAGTGTGTGCACTTTACTATGCCTAGAGCAATTTTGATCTCTTTGGTCTTTCGATCGTGGTGTGTATGTGCGTTTTAATCTTCTTCTGTGATGTTTGTACTACTTATTGAATACTATTTTCTAAAACTAATTAATTACTGAACAAAATATTTTATTTTCCCTAAAGAGAATTGGAATGTCTATGGCTAAATTTAACGTTAAAGATTTGTGTTCAAACAAGTACGATAAACTTTAATGGCGATAGTGCTATAAACAGGTACTGTAAATTGTCACATAAAAGTTTTAAAACGCGCTCAATTGTATACTGGTAAAGATTACACAATACAGTGTTTCTGAGGTTTACTAAACTTCGGCCAGCAAAAGTACTTATGAAAGGAAAGATTTTACTTGTTTTAAATACCTATAGATTCCTTGTTTAAAACGAAAATAAAAGTAATAAAGCCTATTTTAGCCACTTTCAGGGCCGCTGCTCGTCTTGCGACGTCCCTCCACTTCTGTCGGTTTTGTGCATTGCGAACACATTGTACTGCAGTCGATTCAGTGGTTGCTTTGATTAGGTCGATCCAGCGGGTTGGGTATCGACCCCGTGGGTAGTGCCCTCCACACGGCCTTGCACCACAAGTTTCTCCATCGAGTCCTGCTTTTTAGAGATGTGTCCAAAGAACTTCAGTATTAGTAACTGCTGTAAATCCATCTTTGTACACGACCAACTAAAAATTTTTCTTGGAATTCGAATCTTTTTCGATGATCTCTTTGATATGGCAGTGGTGTATCCAACCGACTGGGGATTTCAAGCTTATCTTCTTTAACCTGTAAAACACTAAAATATCTATGTTCGTTTATCGGTATAGAACCTAGGCACAGTAGGACAAGCTTTGCTTATTTTGGGTCTAGGTGGATGTTTGTCCCACAATATCGTTACTACCAATTAACCTCGGTATGTAATCTGATCGACGAATTTAATCGTGATCATCATGCTGTTGTCCAGCCTCTCCTTTGAAAGGAGGTTAAAGGCCTACTATACCACGTTGGCCACGCCTTTTGCAGTGTTCTTGTCCTGCATAGTTTCCCTTACGATACCCACAGGATGAATTGGGGTGACGACATTCCATATTCTTAATCCGTCACCACACGGATCGACAAATTTATGTGGCATTATTTTGATTGTAGTTATAGTGTAGAAATAAGTGTTGTATATCTATTTATGTACGTCATTTTTCTGCTTTAGTTGACTCAGAAAATTTACTTTAAATTACTCATATTAAAGAATATTCATTGAGATTCCTTTGTGTATAGAAAGTTATAATTTATATTTGTTGTAAACGTTATTTCAACACAACAAAGCAATAAGTTAAACTTGCCATTTGCAGACACATCGCCTACGAGCCAACCATTGTAACCTATTTACGTCTTTCCGATTTATACATAAAGTTATTGTATTGCATATTTCTATTTCATAAACAGACAAAGAAATAAGGAGATTTATACATTTCCGTACATTGAAATACAAGCATAGGTTGTTATTATTTTACAATTCCAAGAAACAAATGTAAAATCGAAGCCAATCTTTGATTCGATTCTTACCGTCTCCGAGAATCTGCACTCTGTTAAAATGACTTGCGTTTTCAAATGTATTTTCTGCTGAAACCAAACGAGTATTACACTGTAACAAATCCTTTCGATATCATTTATGTGAAAGAAAATGTTACAAATTTAAGAAACAGTCACTTCTTCTTCAAAAATACAGACATCAAAAAACTCTAAGCAACACTTTTTTCACTATTGTTAAAATTTATATTTCTTTCATAAATAATAACGCAACAAAGCAACAAGCTAAAGCAACAAAATGCTTTATTCATTTTTTTGATCACATCATTAATTACATCATCATTATTTAATTTTAATTATTAACAATATAAGTACCGTTACTTAAGTAGTACAAAATAAAGTTAAAATAAATTAATCTTTTCATGTTTAACAAAATTAAAAAAACGTTATTTTTTTATTATTCTGTTATTTAATACAAAGTTTGACCGCCTCTGTTGTTTAAAATTTGGCAGCAACGATTTTTTTTGAATTTTTAAGATTGTTTATCTGATCCTGTGGTAATCGCTCCCAGTGTAATTTCTGAAAGTCTTTCGGTTATTGGATTGCCGTCCAGGTTATCTAAAACACGTCTCTGGAGTATCTCCCATGCGTGCTGGATGGGATTGAGGTCTGGTGATTGTGCAGGCCACAGCAATACCCGGATGTTTTCCATTGCCAAGTACTATCTGGTCCTCCGAGCTGTGTGCGAACGAGCATTGTCATGCATCATCGTAAAAATCTTAGCCTAGGCTTTGTGCAAATGGGTGAAGATAAGGCCCAAGGATAACTTCAATGTAAGTTTCAGGGCTCATATTGCCATCTACAAAAACGAGTTCAGTTCGTCTGTTCTACCATACCGCCCATACCATCACTGTAGAGCTACTATATGGGTGCGCTTCCTGGACATATCTCAGCCGTCCAGCATTTCCGGGATGACGATGATGATGATAGCTTTCTCGTATCTGGCCGCAATCTAAACCGGGACTCATCGAAATATAAAATTTTAATCCATTGCTCCTGGGTCCATGTCAAGTGTTCCCTACACCTAATTGGGCATCGTTCTAGTAGGCCGTTTTCATGTAGCCTATTTCTAACGGTTTGGTGACCCAACAACTACACCGCTCGAGAATTGTAGCCTTAAACCTATCTCCCGGGCGGTTAACATCAGCTGACGTTTTGCAGTCAGTTGTATGTATCGGTCCTGTCGGGCAGTTATACTCCTTCCTGGTGATTTATTGCCAAGGGCAATAAATCACGCTCCTATTGACACCAAAATGATGAGATACCTGGGACTGAATTCCTCCCGCTTGTAGTACTCCTACAGCTCTCTGCATTTCATCAGCAGTCAAATGGCGTCGCTTCATGACATAAAACATGACTCACTACTCAATTTTTTCAAAAACTATATCTCAGAACGATAAAAGTGAGATAAATACTAAATTTATCAAGCAACAAAAACATAAATTAGCTTTTATTTTGATGATAATTATGAGCAATCAAATATGATACATCAAATAAAAGCAGTCGTTTAATTACTTTTATTGCACTGTATTTACAAACACTTACTATAACAAACAAGAAATCACTATATATGTAACTCGTAAGTCACACTAGAAATTCGCTTGGATGTTAATTCGCTGTGTCGTAAAACAATACTGTGCCCCGAGCACGAACAACTTGCGAAAAAGTATTCGTATCGTCTTCGACAAAATTTGTATGACATTTGTGCAGCGCCCCTATCGTGTAGTAGTAGTAACTAATTTTGGCAGCACGAACGTTTCGAATTTACTTTCGTATCGTCAACGTATCGTCAAGCATTCGATACGTTACACTTTATAAAGAAAATTGGCAGCACGAACGAAATTTTGACGTACGTTCGAAGGCTGGCTATCGAGCACCTGTCAAACTTAGTCGAATGTTTATTCACCTAAGATTTAGCCGTGAGAAAAGTTTCGAAACAATCAATTTCTTTTAAAACTATTATTTTCAAGTATTAACGGTTATTTTTTGTAGAGATAAAATGCAAAGACCGCCGCTTTAGTCCTATGTATGTTCTTGTCGAAAGTTTAATTGAAAATAAAGGTATTCAACAACTAGATTCGAGGTGAGCAAATCTTGTTTTATCTATAAAGTGTAAACTAAATATTTGTCAGAAACCTTTGAAGAAACTTCTACTATATTAATAAAATGTAGTATACTTAGTATGTACCTATATATCTATTAATCTAATTAATTATTTTTTAGTGAAATAAGGCAAAGAAAAATCTGTCTGTTTGTAATATAAAATAATAGGTTTTTTTTCATGCTCACACGGTTTTTTGCAGTGCTGTCTATATAAGGAGTAATATAGGCTAAAAAAAATTGACCGGTCCGGGAATCGAACCCACTAAGGCAGCGCTTTTCAAATTCTACGCAAACGATGTTTCGGGCACCAGCTAGTCCTTTAAATTTAAATGACAACGAATTTCAAAATATATCGCTTTAAGCTAAGAGTAAGAAGTAGTTTGACTCAACCAACTAAATAACTAAAAATGGTTATTTCGTTGCGTTGTATGCCGTGGAAGTGGGTGCGAGGGGTATAAGAGCTAAATCCCTCTATAACCTGTTTAATGACCTTGGATTGCTTAGTAAGCTTTTTCCTTGAACAAATATCCAAAGCGGCATTGCTAGGCTCGTACCAAATTAGGTTAGATGGAGGGGGTTACCCAGCAGACAGGGATGAAAGGTATATAGTAAAAATGAGCTGTATGGATATTTTTTATTTACCATTATTTTAAAATGAATTATACAGAGTTGTTTTTTATACATTACATACACATGTACATGTTATTTACAGAGAACATTATTTACTTTGAAAAAGTTATATGTCTAGTTAATAATTTAAATTTTATTTCACACAATTACGATTCTATTAACGGTTAAAATATCATTGCTTGTTTTGAGTTTATTTTTCTTCAGGAGACTTCCACTCCTCGCCACTGTGAATGGAGAAGACTGAGAATGAACCTCAGATGCTGGTAAAGGAGGAGCCACAGTTGGTTGGCTGCTTGAGCCCGCAGTATTCCAATCTACAACAAAATATTGCAACATTTATTACTTATATAATAACGAATATAACATTTTCAGACATCTGACACACAACACCACCTAGTTTCAAACTAAGCAGAACTTGTACTATGAAACCTAGATTGACTGATATGAGACATTAGTAGTCCCTTGTATGTTTATCTGTAGGATTGCTGTGGTGGTGTTCAAGTAACATTTATAAAGTGACAGATGTTATCTATATTTACAATTGAAACTTTATTTTAATGTCAAGTAGCAGTGTAAGTCTCATAACAACGAGAAATTGAATTATAAGTAATAACGTCAGAAATTTATCATATTCTCAAACATCACATCGTTATTTTACATTACAGTACATTCAATATTATCAAATAGTACATTTAATATACACTCACCTTTCCAGAATTCCACCATAGCTACGTATTGTAAATGGCTTGTTCTCACTATGACTTTTATGTTGGGATTTTTGGTGCAGAAGATGATGAAACACGTTTTCGTCTGTGCTATTCAACAGTTCGATTTATTGTGGCACGACTTACTGTGGTTTATTTTAAAGAAATTTTTATCAATTTCTTTTCACATAACACAACGATCTAGTAGTATACGACTTAGCTATTATTGGAAGCTTGGATTTTTGTCACAATCGACAGCCAACACGACGTAATAATACATAATATTTTCTATAAAATGCTTCTTAAAGTTTCAAAGGTTGACAAATAATCTTAAACTTGGTGATGAATTTACAATAAAAATAATAAACAATTTATTGACATAGCGTCGTAGCCATGTCAATAAATTGACAAGTGGAGACGTGTTTTTCAGAAACCGAAAAAATGACAAAATAATTATTTTAATTCTCCAAATATACTACATTTTAAAATGTCCCATACCTCATTTAAGATTTACTATGTGTTTATATAAGTATATTTTGTTTTTATTTGTCAATAAATAGGTAGTTTAACCGAAAGTAATAAAAAGTTCACTATTTCATTAAGTTTTCGAACGTATAGTTCATTCAATAAGATGTTGAATTCGTTCTTAAGTGCTCATCCTTATTTACGTTAGGATGACGTCACTAACGTAATCGTATCGAGCTCTCGATACCTTAATGTTAGTGCTTCGTGCTACCGCCTATCGTAAAACTCCGTTAACGTATCGAGGACTCGATACGTTTACGATACGCATTCGAAAATTTCTCGTGCTCGAGGCACTGTACAATAACAATACTGAATCAAGAACCATAATCTCAACGCGTAGCGATCGTTGTGCCCCAGTTGATACTAGATGGCGCTGTCCTCAACCACACAACACAAAAACCACTCAGTCCTATGGCGCAACAATAACAAAATGCAATATAAATTTTTCTAATTAAAAAATTAGTCAGTATATGTTTACGAGAACAAAAAAGATTGTATACCAATCTACTTTCTAAGAAAAAAATTAAATAACATGCAGTTTGTGTAAATGATCCATTTTGCTTAGACTTTATTGATGTGTGTATAATAATTAAAACTGAAATTTCAGTCCAAAAGAGCTTTTAAATTTACGCATTTTATTTGGTGACTTTTGCATATCTTATTTAGTAGACGTCCAATGGTACAACATGATAGAGTTGTCTATAAATAGCTAGTTTTTTAAGTTATTTAAGGTTTACGAACGTGACTTTTTGCCCAAAGACAGCCTTAAAGATAGCCTAGCCTTTCCACCCATAATGATTCTACTAATAAGTAATAAATTTTCAGAATTCACATTAACTACGTTTTATTTTAAATTCTAGCAACCCTACAAAGGAATATTATAATACCAATGCTTCATTCGTTCAGACATTGATATACACCACTTACTTTTCAAATGGTGAAACCTGTAAAATCCATTAATCTTGGTTCATAATATATTATTCCGACAAGAACTGAAGTGGACGGGTCTGCATTTTATAAGTCTTATGAACTTTTCAGCTTCAAAAGGAACAATTCTCGAGGAGTATTACGTTGTTCAAATTGTGGAGGTGATTGTATGCATTAGTGCAACGGTCATTGTAACTGAGTGAGAGGGACCGACGACCAGTGCCCAACTCTCGACCAATTTAAATTTATTTCGTGCTTCTCAGCCGCATCGTTAAAGTCAAGGGCGTGCTTAGTGCCAGAACCCATTAACTTAATATATGGGTATGAGCAATCGGCTTTTTGTTATATTCTCGAGTCAAACGGTACTCGTTCTCATTCGTAATTGCTAAATGGCTCGTATTACACAAGTCGTTACTGTCAATGGTAGAAAGTAATAATCAGTGTTCTTTGACTTCATATTGTATTCAATCGAATGTTTTTTTTTTAAGTTTACAATTTAATTGGTTGATCATAAATACCATCATATAACCTAACATAGTCGGAACTTACTTCTAAATTAATAATGCATTTAATTACGAATGTGATAGGATAATGGTTAAGGTTCAGTTTAGTGATCGAATGGATGTGGTTTAAGCCCTACCACTTCTAAGAAAAACTACTTCAAGACATCAAAAATTTTTTTTACAATATTTTACAACACATTTATTATACTGATAAACATAATGTCAGTTTTAGGCGCTACGCATTTTCTAATAATCTGTTTTTAAGCAACGGTTCTTAAAGAGACACTTACAAAAGTGTCTTGTTAATGTACATAACAACTACAGAAACAATAATATTAAATAAGATTCCCGCCTCGGCTTCAGGCGACTGATTAAGAAATTAAATGAAATGAGAAGAAGAAACTACAAATCTTTTTTTTTATATAAAATACTGGACTATCAAGTTTCTTGTATTTTGGAAATCTCTATACTGTCTTCTGTATCCCTTTTAAGTATTTTATAGACAGTTTTTAACCTATTTTTTCGTATTAGAAAAATTGAAGTTTCTGAATTTTTTCTTGAAAATTGAGTTGAGTATATTTTTTTATTTTATATATTTTTTTTCTTTTATTTTATACATACCTAAATATAATAAATTAAATATGCATTGTTCAAGTTCATACTCATAACAAACACTTCATAGTCTGTTGTTTATTTCGTTGGTCAGCTTGGCGCTTTTGCAGTAAACTAGGACACCCTGCGGATGTTGAAACCGCATCGGCTTGGTTTATTTTAGAGTTTATCACAGCATTATGTCACATCAAAGCTGTCAAGGTATTACTTATTTTATGTGTGTTATTTTCAAATTTTGAAGATATATCATCAACTTTTCATAACATTTGCCTGGTTTGAAGCACTAACTTTGCCCAGTAGTGCAAAACACACAGAAACTGTGTTGTTTTAAGTAATCTCAATGACGTGTAAAAAAGCATTTGACAAAACAAAGCAGACTATAAGCATAAACAACCTTCTGTTTAACCTAATAAAAGCATAAAAATATAGAACATTTTCTGTAATTTTTTGTCCAAAACTTAAAGTGCGTAAATGGTCGCCAATTAAAGCATTTATTTATTTTAAACTTCAATGTAAATAAGAGAACAGTGTTGGTTGATGTTTGCGCCGGGTTGATTGCCTTCACTGGACCGAAGTTCAATATACATATATCTATTTTCCACATATGTAAATTTTCAACAAGCCTTTTCGATTCGACGGACGCGTCCAATTCACTAGTGGAATGAAACTGAAATTGGAAAAATCGCCGTGAGCCATGTATGAGCTCTCTGTACCAATGAAATAATGCCATTGTAAACTTGGAATTACTTCGCCAAGTATTCATTGTTAGATGTTATATTGATGAACACATCCTTGTACGCATCTAGAACCGAGATTAATCTCGAGGGTACATTGTCATTTCAATTTATAACTAGTGAAAATTAAAATCTCCGAGTATTGAAGTTAAAATACTCACGTTCTCAATCTTGCGTTGAATAGGATTTCTTTTTACGTTTTTTGCTGAACCTGTCAGCGAGATATCCTTTTTTTTCTATAAGCCGATAAAATCATCAGCGAACAAGTATAAATTATTGAGTGTTTATATTACAGATAGACTTGTGTGGTTTAATGAAAGTGAAAGTGAAAGTTTGTGTATCTGTCTGTGTCATTGTAGCTCCTAAACGAATAAACCGATTATGCTGCGGCTTTTTTTAAAGGTAACGTTATCGAGATGGTTTTCAGGCAAATTTGTGAAGATCATCAGCTCATTTCTTAGTTGATGAAGGGATTTCATTAACTTACACAGCTTGGATTGATTTGTAGTTTGGTGTACTGTTACTTTTGTGGTATTTCCACGATATGGGAATCTTGACCTGATGCTGCACCCGAACTTATTGGTGATGCTGATGTCGGAGGTATTCCAAATTTTTTATTTAGTGTTACGTTAAATTTTGGCGACATTTAGTCTTTTGGATAGAAAACTGCTTGTAGTCGTATAGTAGAGGTTGAGGGAGAGAGCTTGCTGTAAAGAATATCATGTTCAAACTAGCTTTTATCCGTGACTTCGTTTGCATTTGTCAGTAAAAGACAATGGTAGGCATGAATAGGACTTTTGTACTGTCTTGTGTATCTCATGGTAGGGAATATTGTTGTATTTATTTGGCTGGTAATATCATCAATAATAACAGTTTTAATAACCAGATTTTTAGAACTTTGCTTTCAAAAGTTATTTTAGTTCGTAGTTTGCATATGAGCTGTACTGAAGTCGATACCAATGACATCAGGCCGTTATAAATTATTTGTCATCGCTTAACTAGTTGACACAAGTAACATTAATATCTTTCAAAATCATACGTTTATGATTTTTTGATCTGTCAATAAAATGATCCCCTGTCCAAAGAGTTTTAATTACGTTTTTTACATAGTGTACACGATTAATCTAATCGATTTAAATTAAATTATTAGTACCTTGCCTTAAATTAATTGATTTAAAATAATCATTCCTTTATTACTTCGTCTAATCTGTACATTCAACATTATTAATAAATAAATGTTTGTTTTTAACTGCACAGACACAGTAGTCATTGATCTCGATGTAAACATATCGTTTTTATGTAATTTATATTTTATGCACCGCAAGTTTAGAAAACTTAGGAATGCGTTTCGTTAACAACTCTAGAAAATTTAGTTATTGCAATTGTAACAATTATTTGAGAAGAATTTATTTACTAAAGTAAGCAAAGCAAAGTTATAAAAATATGACAATTACTCAAATATAGTTAGGATGATTATGATCCTACGATTTCATTAACATCCATCATTTATTACTATGGGAACAGGATCTACCGTTCTCGTTTTGTTTCTAAACAACTTCATAATTTTATCCGGGATAAACAGTAGTTATCGCAACAAAAATGAATTATGTCAGACTAATTTCAACAGATACACAAGAATACAATACAGAACAACTAACATCAACTGAACAGTTTAAAGTTACATAGAAACTGATAGCTAAATATTGAAACCTTAACCTTTA